TTATTAACACGTGTGAGCCCACGTTATCGGTCTCTGGCTAGCTTTATCCCCTCAAATTGTTTGAGAAGGAAACTCCCTGGTAAATGCTAATAATAAAGCATTTATAAAGTGCTCCGACGTACACATATCAACGACTAAGCCAATACATTGTTTGTTATAACCCTGTAGCCTGCAGTTTATAGCACAATTAGTTACAGGTTTTTATAGCATCTATTTAGTATTTTGGAAGAAAAAAGGTTATAAATATAATTGTTATATTCTATTGTACTTTATAGACAGAGAAAATTATATTAGTAATGATAACTCTCACTGCTTCGACGGCATTTCCCAGCTCCCAAGAAAAAAGAGGGCTACAAAGAGCTGCTATCCCGAGAGCTCAGGAGGGGGCAGGCGGTGGTACCGGTGGGTGCGGGCAGGGAAGCCGGGGCAGGGGGTCCGGCGTGCGGCCAGGCTCGGGGGACCAGAGCAGCCAGGAGCACAGCAGCAGCTGCATCCAACCCGCGCCTTGCCCCTACTCACACCCTTCGTACAAAAGCTTACTGCTCACCCAACACCACCCTGGTCCTGCCAAAAGCAACCTGCTCCCGAGCCTGGGAGAGGCTGAGGATGTCCCCATGGCAGCGCCGGGTTTGTGCCCCTTTGCAAATGGCACCGCAGGAGGCGATGCCTGGGTTTGGTCCAGCCCCGGTGAGGATGCTTCCCTCTCCTCCTCTTCCTCCTGTCCCACCGAGCGTCCTGGTTGCCTGGACTTGGCTTTCCTTTCCCCTCTGGACTTCTTGTTGGAGATTCCCCAGGTGTCTACACCGCCTGTAACACCCTGCACCCACTTCTTTGAAATCGAATTAAAAATCAGGTCTGTCCCCCCTTGTTCTGCACCCGTCTCGCTGCTCTTTGCTTGCGGTGCCAGACTGCTCGCCGCCCTGCTGCTGCTCTCGCAGCCCTTCTGCGGGAGGCAGCGGTCCAGGGTGGGGGAGATTGTTTCTCCTCTACAAAAGGGATATTTTTGGACCCAGGGTTTGCATCTGCAGGGCTCTGGTGCTCGCCCTTGGGTCTCCTCTGCGGGAATGTGGGTCTGGCTTCATCCTCTCTGGGAAGATGGGGCTCTTCTGGGCCCTGTGGGGTTCCCAGAGGGACGGTTGCTGTGCACAGAGGCAGCAGACCAGCAGCATGAATTCCCTCCACCAGCTGTGACCCCCGCCCCTCGCTATCAGGATTATCCTCTCTCCCTCCCCACCCACACAGAAATGAAGCCAAAACAGAAGAGCTTTGGTACATCTCTATTGCACAAACAGCATTGCCAGGGCCGTGGCTGCAGGCTTGGGAGGGCAGCAGTGACTGCAACAAGCCTTGGTGACAGCCACCACCCTGACCGAGGTGCCCACCAGCCCCCCTGCGTCTCCCCCCCCCGAGAAGCCCGTTGGGGCTCAGCAAGGGTCGCCTCCTGTGACCCCCCCCCCACCCCCTGAACTGAGCGACCCAAATGCTCATTAAGGCTCTTGCTGCTGTGAGACACGAGGATCATTAGTCCCATTATACAGACCGGGAAGACTGAGGTACAAGATGGTTTGCACGCTTGGATGCCATGTGCGGGGTGTCCCTGCTTTGGGGCGACACTACAGGGGCCGGCTACCCCCCTTTTCCCTGCAGAAGGTGCCCCATTCCCTTAATTTGGGGCTGGATTTTTCCACTCAAACCAGTACAAGAGGGCCTGTTTAGGAGGAGAATTACCAGTCCAAAAAAAAACCCCATTGGGATGGGGGGTGCAGGTCTGAAGAGCAAGGGGGAGACCTCTGGGGACCCCCGGGAGCAAATCCATCTCGCTGCCCGCGGGCACCGCAGCTCCGGGCTCAGCATCGCTCCCACCTTCGGACGAGCGAGGGGTCTGTCCCCTCCAAAACCCGGAGAGGGGGCTCAGACCCACACCTCCTCGTCATCCTCGGTCAGCCAGGCACCACTGTCGGCTGGCGAGGGCT